CGAAACCACCCGAAAGGCATGCGAAACGCACCCGAAAAGATCGTAGTGTGTGTGTGTGTGTGTGTGTGTGCGTGCGTGCGTGCGTGCGTGCGTGCGTGCGTGCGTGCGTGCGTGCGTGCGTGCGTGCGTGCGTGTGTGTGTGTGTGTGTGTGTGTGTCGGGCAGCTTCCCATAATCTTCGTTGCGAGCACGCCGAAGTACAGGTAAGAAAGCAACAGTGCTGAGCAGCCTCGAGCACGCTACGACTGTACAGGAGATGAGGTACATTCGTAATTTCTGTAAGTACGTAGCTAACAACCCCACCATAGGAATTATGTTTGGCACGACTCGGAACGAGGCTTTCCATAAACAGTTAAAAGCATTATATAGGAATGTAATACACCAGACTCAGCGGCATGCCTTATGCGTCGCTACTGCAGCGAGGTTGGCAAAGTTGTTCGTTGGATGTGTGGCTAAATGCCACAGCGACCTGACGCTCGCATTTGAGGAGCACGATATGCTGGCCAAATTTGCCTTGTTCCTCGTCGCAGAGACGCCATTCGAGTTTTCACCTCTAATGCACCACTCAGTAGAAGCAGGCGAGTCGGTGGATCTGGCGAGCCTGCCGATGAATGCAAAAACTATTCGCAAACGCCCAGCATCGGCGCTATAATAAATAAGGTTTACCTCTGTAACCCATCCATGTACTGTATTTGACTTGGTTATTCTAGCGACTGCGGGCATATCTTTCCGTCCAAACAAATACCGCCGTCATCATCAAAGTCGTCATTTTCATCGCTGTTGTCCCACTCGACGCAAGACGCGCATGTCGTTAAATAGGACCATACCATCGCTCGTGGATCGGCGCCCCCCCTCACCCGCAGCTCGGGAGGCAGCGCCAGGCCCCGTCGGCGGGGGGGCACCGGGGTCCAGGGACCCGCTTTCACCGGGAGCCGCGCCCCGCATCCCCCAGGGGAGGAGAAGAGGGGATTCGGGGAGGGGTCGGCGGAGCGCGCAGGGGGGGGGGTGGGGGGGGGGGGTGCAAGGGAACCCACCGGGCAGGGCAGACAAAAGCGGGGGCGTGTGCTTTGGTTCATGTGCAGTTGGATGTTTTTGTTTGGTGGGGGGGCAGGGGATGGGAGGCGGAGGGGCTCCGAGAAAAATGAAAGCCAGGGACATATGCCTATACATATTTGTATACGCAAACACGCAGCTACACATTTGCACGTACACACACATATATAATATATATATATATATATATTATATATATATTATATGCAGTGTCTATATACATATGTCTGTATATATGTATATATGTATGTTTTCATATACATAATATAATATAATATAACATAGGCGTGCCACACTGCGTTTGACTTGGGGTGTTTGCGCCTCCGGAGCCAAACTGCAACCCACCGACTCCCAATTCCACAGATTCCCCCCTCTCCTCCTCCCGCCCCCTCCCCCCTGTCTCCGCCCTCCCCCCGTCGCTCCTCCCTAGGGGGCCACATGCGAACCCCACCCCCCTACCCCCCACGATTTCTGAGGGGGGGGGGGGTTCACTTCGCTCGGGAGCTCCCGAGCGAAGGAAACCCCACCCTCCCCCCCAGAAATCGTGGGGGGTAGGGGTGGGGTTCGCATGTTTCCCCCTCCTCCTGCCTCCCCGCCCAGCCTCCTCCTCGGGGCCCCGCCGTGCGTTCTGCGCCAGGCGCGCCCGGGCAGCGTGGGCCCCGCGCCCGCGCCGCGGGCCTGCGCCGCCCCGGAGCAGGCGCCTTCCCCCCGCCTCCTCCCGCGCAGCGGTCTCGCCTCGCCGAGGCAGGAGCTGGAGGGCCACGACAAGGGAGGAGAGGGAGGAGGAGGAGGAGGAGGAGGAGGAGGAGGAGGAGGAGGAGGGGAGGGGGGAGGAGGAGGAGGAGGAGGAGGAGGAGGAGGAGGAGGAGGAGGAGGAGGAGGAGGAGGAGGAGGAGGAGGAGAAGGAGGAGGAGGGAGGAGGAGGAAGAAAGCAGGAGGGTTTGCTCGCGCAGTGCGATCCGAGCGGAGTTCTCGACCCTCGGCGGGACGCCGCGAGAGGTCGAAGAGCTTCTCCTAGGCGTCCGCTTGGCCGTGGGGCGGTATGCGCCTGGGGCGGTATGCGCCTGGAGAGACTATGCGCCTCGGCTTCGCGGCAGGAAGAAGGCAGGAGGAGGAGGAGGAGGAGGAGGAGGAAGGCAAGAGAAAGGCAGGATAAAGATGGGGGCCAGCAGTTCCACCCTCCCTGGGCGCTCCTTCCCTTTTCTCTCTCTCTCTCTCTCTCTCTCTCTCTCTCTCTCTCTCTCTCCCCCCAAAAGCTGTTTCCCACGCTGGCCTCTGAGCAGACCTACAGCGAGATCTGCGCCGCCCGCCACGCCCTGCGGCTCTCCACGCATCCCTCGGGCGACGCGGGCCCGCGCGGCGCGGAGGCGCCGAAGGAAACCTCCAGTCGGCTTCGGCCGCTCCTCCCTCCCTCCCTCCCTCGCTTCCTCCCTCCCTTCCTCCCTCCCTCGCTCCTCGCTTCCGTTCGCGCATCCCCCCTCCTCCCCCATCCGCCCTCCCCACTTCTACGGCCCGACGCGCCCGCGACTCGGACCCGCAGGCCTTGAGAGAGACAGCCTCGCGGGGGTTTGGGCCCCCCGCCGCCCGGGCGGGCCCACCTGCGACCCTGCGACCGCCCTCTTGGCCCGTGTCCCTCCCCCCCCCTCCCGGCTCCTGCCCCCCCCCCCCCCCCCTCTACCCCTCCCTCCCCCTATCCGTTTCTCCTTCGTTCCTCCTCCCTCCCTCCTTCCCCCCCTCCCCTCCCTCATCGGCTTGTTCGCTCCTCCCTCCCTCCTCCCCCATCCGTCCTCCCCCCCCCCTTCGGCCCGACGCACCCGCGACTCGGCCGACTGGGGCTGCTGGGCTGCATCGCAGCGAACCCTTCACCGAGCCCATACCGGCAGTGCCCCTCCTCCAATTCCAACTCCTCCACCCCCTACTTCTCCTCCTCTTCCTACTCCTCCTCCTCCTCCTTCTCCTCCTCCTCCTCCTCCTCTTCTTATTCCTCCTCCTCCTCCTCCTTCTCCTCCTCCTCATCATCACCATCATCTTCATCATCATACTCATCCTCATCCCCCTCCTTCTCCTTTCCCTCCTCCGGAGGTGTGGGAGTCGAAACTCCTCGCAGAGTTGGAATCTACACTCAAAGCTTCTTTTCTGGAGTTTCATGGGCTTGTACCTATTTGCGCACCACGGTACGATCAGCTTCGAATGTCACGCTTTGTCTCGCGCATGGAGGCGCCTGTTTTTGCTATGCCCTCTCTTCCTATCTCTGTTGCAGGCGTTGCCCCGGGTATCTCTGGCACCTCATCGGTGGCAGTTCCCTCAGTCCCTGGCAGTATGTCGTTGGCGCAATCCACTCAAGATCAGCAGCTGGAATCTGATCACACCTGGTTGAGAGTCAAAATGGGTCTATCACCATGCTGCGCGGCATGCTGGAAGAGAAAGAGGGCGCTTCTGTGACCCCCACCTCCTCGGCAGCCTCTCGCAGCACAGGCTTTGAGGTCGAGGGCGGCAGGCGTTGGCGTCAGGGTGCGAGTTCATCGGCGTCAGATACGGACAATCCTTGAGACGGCGCGGTGCTGGATTCTGTGAGACAGTACATTGATGTTCAGGTGTTGGAGGTGGGCGCACGGGCTCGAGTTTTTGCGGAAGAGCAACTACGACACCGTGCGAGCCCCATGGAAGACATTCTCCCTGGCATCATCAGATCTGCTGCGGCTGCACAGGTCCAGCAGACATTGCCGCACATGGTCGAGTCCTCCGCCACGGCTTTCGTGGGCCCGTTCCAGCGCATCGCCGCGAGTGTTGCCGAGCGCGTACGTGAGCTCGACATTACAGCATCTGCTTTGGAAGTAGAGGTTGGTGCCGTCTTCGAGCGGCTGTCCGAGGAACACTGCGTCTCCCGCGGGCGTTCGCCTGGCTCGGGCGGCGTCGCAGGCTCCTCCAGCCGTGGTCCGACCCCTCTGTCCTCACCATCCTCCTCGGCAGTGCGGCTCTGCAAGTTTGGGCGTAGATTCACCACTCACCAGACCTCCCCAACCCAACCCGAAGGCTTCAATTTGCCCTCCATGTCCAGTTGGGGGGGGTCGGGGAACACTGAAAAAACACATGGAACCCGTACCCCCCCCCCCCCGGAAATTCGGGTCAAATTCGGGTCTTCGGGTTGGGTTGGGGTGGTCTGGTAGGTAGTCATAGATGTGATTACAAGAACTGAGTCTTCATCCCTCCTGATGGGCCGCAGTTCTGAAGAGGACGTGGAGACTCCGCGGCCCGTGGCTGCTGCGCCTACCCAACCTCGGAGGACATCAGCGGTTTTTTCGAAGCCCATCGACCATGCCAAGTTTGAGGATGTCGCTACTTTGGTGCCGACGGCAGAGATCCACGGCCAGCTGCCTGCTGAGTTGCTGGCAGATTCGGATCCCGAGATTCTTGAACCAGACATCGATGCAGCCCCCGGTCCACGCTGCCCGTTCCGGGGCCGCAGACATCATTCGTGTTCTGGCTCGTCTTCTATTCCATCAGCCCCACAGTGCACTATGCTGTTCTCGGCATCGCTCGGGCTCGGACGTGTGCATTTTTTCTTCGGCGAGGACCATCGAGGAGCATCCTCGATCATTAAGCGAAGAAACCACGCACGAAACCGAAAAAAACACAGGGAATGGACGTCCGAGCGATGGCGAGTGTTTATATATCATGCTTCGCTGCCACTCATTGCCTGCTGCGCAGGTGGCGGATTCTCTGAGAGTCTGCGGACAGGGTGACCCCTTTGGGCACGCTCGACCTCCTCCCAGTCCTCCTCCTCCCCCCCTCCTCCCCCCCCTCCTCCCCCTCCTCGCCCTCCTCCTCCCCCTCCCAGTCCTCCTCCACCCCCTCCTCCTCGCTGCTGGGCTGCAGCGCATTGAGCCCTCGCCGGGTCCGTCATGCTGCAGCGCCCCTCGTCGCTGGACGCTGCCGCGATCCGCCCAGGTCTTCCTGTTCGTGAGTGTGGTCACAGGGCATTTCACGGAGTCCGCAATCATAGGTCGGGTCGTGCTCGTGCGTTTCACGGTCTTAGTGATCATGAGCGCGATCACAGTGCATGTTTCGGAGTCCGCAATCATAGGTCGAGTCGTGTTTGTGAATTTCACGGTGTTCGTGGTCATGAGCGTGGTCACGGTGGGTTTCACGGGGTCCGCAATCATAGGCCGGGTCGTGCTCGTGAATGTCACGGCTTTCTGATTCATGAATGTGGTACCAGTGCATCTCACGACGGACGTTGTTGGTGGACGTCCGCCATTGCCCTCTCCCCCCCCGCCGAGGACCATCATAGGCCTTAGCAGTGAGGACCACCATGAGGCTTCACACCCCTCGCAGTTTCCATCGTGGGTACTGCCGGGGTCGAACCAAATCCCCACAAACCTGGCACCGTACGTGCAGTGCCAGGGGCGGCGGCCCGTCTTCCCATCTTACCATCATAGGGGGATGCGAAGTCCCTGATGACGGGACAGGGTCGGCACGAGCGGGCATCATAGCCTGCTCAAAATCAAAAGAGGCATCATAGCCTCTTCAATCTAGATTCATCCACTCACGGATCCACTGCAATTTCTTTCCATTGACTTCATTCCATGCGTCGCATGCTCTCCCCTAACGGACCGCGAACGGGACCCAGTCCCCTGCCGGTCGTCTAGTGCCGCCATCATAGGCATCCAGAGGGGCCATCATAGGCACCTCGCACCCAATTCCGGGCCATTAGCAAGGCTCGTTTTGGGAAGAAGGACCATCATAGGCCTTCGCTCTCAATTTGCTCATTGAACTCAACTTTCTCGTCGTCGTCCTCCTCCTCCTTCTCCTCCTCCTGGTCTCCACCCCATCGGAGCCGCGATACAGGCAGTGCGGGCAACACCTCGGCCTCGATCGGGTCGTGCTCGTGAATGTCACGGTTTCCGTGATCATGGGTGTGTTCACGGTGCGTTCCAGGGAGTCCGCAATCGTAGTTCGGGTCGTGTTCGTGAATGTCACGGTCTTCTTGTTAATGAGTGTGCTCACAGGGCATTTCACGGAGTCCGCAATCATAGGTCGGGTCGTGCTCGTGCGTTTCACGGTCTTAGTGATCATGAGCGCGATCACAATGCATGTTTCGGAGTCCGCAATCATAGGTCGAGTCGTGCTTGTGAATTTCACGGTGTTCGTGGTCATGAGCGTGGTCACGGTGCGTTTCGCGGAGTCCGCAATCATATGTCGGGTCGTGTTCGTGAATGTCACGATTTTTTGATTCATGAATGTAGTACCAGTGCATCTCACGACGGACGTTGTTGGTGGACGTCCGCCCTTGCCGTCTCCCCCCCGTTGAGGACCATCATAGGCCTTAGCAGTGAGGACCACCATGAGGCTTCACACCCCTCGCAGTTTCCATCATTGGTATTGCGGGGGTCGAACCAAATCCCCACAAACCTGGCACAGTACGTGCAGTGCCAGGGGCGGCGGCCCGTCTTCCCATCTTACCATCGTAGGGGGATGCGAAGTCCCTGAAGACGGGACGGGGTGGGCGGGCATCATAGCCTGCTCAAAATCAAAAGAGGCATCATAGCCTCATCAATTTAGATTGGTCCACTCACGGGTCCACTGCTATTTTTTCCATTGACTTCATTCCATGTGTAGCATGCTCTACCCTCTCGCTGCAGACAACAACCCGACGGTGAAGTCGGGCTTGTCCCCTTACAGGGGGGATGTTCGCAGGATTTGTTTTAAAGAAAATATGTTTTTATATAAAAACATTGTTCCTTTTTTTTTTTTTTTTTTAAAAAAAAAAAAAAAAAAAAAAAAAAAAAAAAAAAAAAAAAAAAAAAAAAAAAAAAAAAAAAAAAAAAAAAAAAAAAACGAAAAAAACGAAAAAAACGAAAAAAACAATAATAATAATCCAAACCTAGACTGGGGGGGGCAATTTTTAAAGATATGGTTTGACCTTCTTGGGGCATTATTGGGGTATTTTTTTTGTCGAAATTCCCCCTGTGGGGGGACACGCCCGACATTACACGACGGAGTGTTTGCCGCCATTCTCGGCCTCCGAGGCGCTCTGCCAGGCCTCGGAACAGTCCAAAGACGAGCCGGGATGAAGAACCGATCCCCGGGGAAGGGCTCCAGACCTCTGGGGGTCGCGTCATGGCAGAATCATGACGCCGGGGGTTTGGGAATGCGCCCAGCGAGCGGCTGCAGCGGCGCCAGAGGGCTGCCTCGAGCGTCGCCAGCGGCGCGGCGCGACGCACGGCCCCGCCTGCAGCCAACCCGCGCGGACGCTGCCGCCCAGACGTTTTCCCCGGAAGGCTTCCACACTGCCGCCGGCGCCTCCGCGCTTGGTGGCCGGACGGGGCGGCTCGTGCCGACCTCCGCCACAGGTGGCGTCGCCTCGATTCCCAGCTCGTGGTCGCCGCCCCCAGCAACGTGCTGCGCCGGTGCTTGGCCGATGCCTCAGAGCCATACCGCATGCACGCGGGACAGCGCCGCATGGCCTGCCAGTGGAGCTGCGAGGCGGGTGCGGACCAGACCTCGCACCACCTGCGGTGCCGCGGCGCCAGGAGCTCCTTCCGCCGCCGTGTAGACGGTCGAACGGGTATCTTAGCGAAATCAGTCGGACATTGGTGCTCCTCCTCGGCCTCATCCTTTTCCTCCTCCTTCTCCCCCTCCTCCTCCTCTTCCTTTTACTCCTCCTCC